GGAGGCGGGGCCCGAGCCGGGACGGCCTTTCCCTCAGGATTTAAACTTCCGGAGCGACATAGCCCACAAGCTGCTTGGGAAACGGCGCGTCCTAGGCCGTGTCTGGCCTTGATGCCCGAAAAAAGCTGGAAATAAAACCCCATGGGCTGATGTCAATAGAGCAGGTATTTGTTTATTGGAGCGCTGGTGTAGTGCTGGAGGTGAGGGGGATTTCTCCTTCTAACCCACCTGCCTTCGCTTAGAACTGGCAGGTATTTATAGAGTAAGCGTGGTGTAACATTACCATCGTCACTGCGCCCACCACTGTATAGGGGCACGGAAATCCACGATATCACAGTTCTGTAGTGCTCCTGTGTCATCCTCAATTCGGTGGGCGTGGGGGTCTCTAATGAGAGACCATCATCTTCATCATGGGGGACTTTGCACCTTTCTCTTCAGGGCATGCGCAGTTGTGATGTTCATGGTTTTTTTCTAGTCGTCCAAGCCTTCATTTTTCAGTTCTCATTAGTGCAATCTACTGTTCCTCAATATAGCATCTACTTGTCTACTGCTAGAGAACATTTTTGATTTATGCTTTTATGTTGTGCAGGCACTGATCCAGCTGGCTGGATTACATCCAGATGATACACTTTATGTTGCTAATACCCTATATAAAGCTTATAACAATATATGAAAAGGCTGTTATTGATAATATATTGAAAGYTATTACATTGTATATTCATAATATGTAAAAAGCTATTACGTTATATACTGATAATATGTGAAAAAGGTTAAAAAAAGTTTTCAATCAATAGGCCTCATAAGTACCTTGTCACTTTGACTTAAACCAGAGGTATCACTGGCGACAGGAGCAGTCACTGCACCACCTCAAATACACCTTCTGCTGCAGCACCCTGTATAGATGGTGGTTCACAACAGGAGGGGAGAAATTTTACCCGCTGGAATTTCATCCTGAAAACAAACATTAACACCTTAATGCTCACTATGAGCCAGAGATCCTCAGCACATCCATGCTCTCCAATAATGAACCAGCGTTCTTGCTAAGCACTGATCTGAAACCAGCATCCCTTCCCCAAAAATCCGGTAAAAACCAGTTTGRCAATATATTAAACAGAATTTTGTACATTGTGCCTTATCAATGTTCAAAGCCCCATGGAAGATAGTTGGTTACTATATGCATGGGAAGTTGGGTCATAGGTGGAAGGAATCCAAAAACTTTTCAACAGGTCATAAGCTAACATGTCCTTTAAGCATGTTAGAACAAGATCTTCCTGGCAAAGAGACTGAAGGTCGTATGGATCCTTCTTTGCACTCAGGTACCTGGACAAATCAGGCCTAAACACAAAGTGGTTACACATATCAAACTAACAGGAAAGTCTTCCCCAACTCTTCTAAGYGTTTCTCTTTTCAAATAGCACCACTSCACTCTTGCCTGCTCTCAGTTTAAGTCTGCAGGACTTCAAATTGCCAACTTTTCTTTCCTACCAGACTTCTGGCTCCACTTTCTGGTGGCAGAGCTTCTGCTGTCTGAAAACAAAACAGAATTAAGTGCCAGGCTTGTTGTGACTGTATTTGGCCTCCCAGCCATGATCTAGAAGGAAAGAAAAGGCAAAGTAAAAAACAAAGCTGAGTGCCTTCAGAGAGAAAAGGTGATTTCCCCAACCATTCTCTAGGTTGTACAACKGAGAAAAAAGAGTCAGGAAATTGCAACACCAGCTTCCTTCTTACCATTCAGCTCCATGGGAGRGACAAAAAATCTGTGCAAGATCCTACCAGCCACACTTCTTTGGTCAGAATCGCACAACTCAAAAGTGTTTTTTCCCCTTCCCTGATTGCTGCATGAGCTACATATAAATTCACAGTATGGCTGTTTTCTGAAGTTCTTTAGAGGATTTTGATGGGGTTTTCTCTTCCTCCTAGTAGGTCTTCATCAGCAAGTGGCAATGGCAACTATGGATTTTAATTGACAGAACAAAATACCAAATCAATTTAATCACAGGGTGTGACTGATTAGCACCCCACATAGACACACACACACACACACACTCCAGGAGTGGACAGCTCAGGGGAGGACAAAAACCATACCATCTCAGGGAAGAACAGATCACAAAGAAAGTCAAATTTATCTGAATGCCAGGAAGATTGGAGGGTGAGCTTAGTTTTAGGGAAGACATCTGCACCTGTGAATCACCAGGTACCTCAAGACAGTTAACAAGCAATAATAACAATAATAATAATAACAATAACAATAACAATAATAATAATAATAATAATAATAATAATAATAGTAATGTGTTCCTGAGCAAGCCAGAGCAGCAAGGAGGGTGTGGATATGTGGCTCGCGCCATCTCCTCATAAAAGTATAAACCCAGACAACTGATAAAACATTCAAACTTTAAAAAGAGCAATGGGCTTGAGCTGGCTTCCACTCATGTTCCCCCATGTCTGGGGATGTCCAGTGTCATGATGGTGAGCACCTGTGTAGCTGTCTCACCCTACTAAATCAAAATCCTGTGTACCAAGTAAGTAAATTTAATATCCATTTCCTCCTCCTGTGGAATAGCTGAAAGAACTTGGTCTGAATGCATTGAACTCTGACACAGAAGTAYGAGAAACAGAAATGCTCTAGATTCACAACTTCATTTCTGGAGCAGCTGCCACCATCCAGCAAGTTTCTCACAGAGGAAGCAGTTACTGAATGGCCCTGCTGGCATCAGTTGTCATTATCATGACAGTCCTGAACTTATTCTATCCTAACATCTCTCCAGCTGCTGTTGAAGAGCTATCAGTCTGCCACCCCTCATGGTGGCTGCCAACAAACACCCCCACAAGAGCAAAATTACTTCTGCTGTCGTGCTGACTGTCCCTCAGAAAGCTCATCCAAGAGAGGAACACATGGCAAATCAAGGTGATATAAAGAAAAWTTTTATTTTAACAGAAACAAGATTACAGAATTTCTTTCAAGTATTTTACAACCATTCATGACACACTGTGCCCTAAGAGCTCTGAGAAAAAACAAAATGAGAATCCTTACTGTTGAAAATCCTATATAGCAGGGCTGCTTATTCAAGTAAATTATTATCATAAACCAAACCAAACCTTTGGAGGARAACAACCAAACTAACATAATGATGGGGATTTGGTTCTTCTGGAGCAGGATGTTCTTTTCCTTGAACAATKATAGCTTCCAAAGAAGACAGACAATGATTCACCTCCAGGTAAGGCAGTTACAACCTTACACATGCTGCCTGGACATTGATCCAGCATTCTGAATCTGTTTTTTTTTTTTTTTAAATTTCAGGCACTTGAAACAACTCAGACACCAATGGGACTTCACTGACATTTCCAATAACTCTTACAACAGTACTTGGAAGTGCTTTCTCACTTGAGATACAGACTGAACATACTCCCCTGCTTCTGCAGGATAAAAAGCCAGTTCTGTGGTTTTCCACAGCCATACCCAACTGCTACAGATCCATTTGCTGGAAAACTGATTCAGTATGGAAGTTGGAATATTTAGGTCTCGTGGCTCCTTAAAGGATTGTAGCTAACTACATAGATTCAGATAATTTCYCATGTAAATTCTCTTCCCCGTCGAAGCCCACTCCAGATGTCATTCCTGAGTGTATTCTTACTTTTCCATTTTGCATTGTGGAACTTCAAAGATCAGTTTCATCAGTAGTGTTGATGTTATCTTTGGCATCTGCTTAGATCCTCCAAATTCTTGTTCTGCCAGTTCCTGGTTCACTTTTGTCAGGATGGTGATAAAATCCACGCGGCTTGAACAGAAATTAAGAGAAGTTACATTGAAACACCCGGTACTTGCAGCTCAGCTAGGGTGATCCATGTTTGCTCCAATAAAGTGGTATCACACCACTGCCACTGAAATTGCACATTCCTTTGAATAATCACAGAATTCAGTGTGTTTTGGGGAAATAAAGGCAACCCCCATATAGCATTGCTTTGGTTACAGTCAGAAGAGGCCACTAAGATGAAACAGAGACAAACCTATACATTCTCCATATCTTCTTCTGGACACCATGAGAAAGTGATATCTGAAGGGAAATTCTATCTTTTAAATTATGTTTATGAGGGGAGGGGTGGGAAGCAACAATGAAAATTATGACTACAGAACACTGGGGTTTTTTGTTTGTGTAATCGCTTGTCAGGTGTCACTGGAAGAAAAATAATTTATCAGTCAAAAAATGTTAAAAAACACACATACACACACTTGTTTGTGTGTAATGTTGCAGCATTACATCCCTGGTTTTGTCACAGGAAAAACAGGGCAGTCACTTATACTTTGGCTCATGTGTAGAAGACGAACAATGCCCAATTCCAAAATAAATATTGCTCTCCTCTGTCCTGCAGGTGAAAAGCATTAACAGAACAAAGGCAAAACACTGTGTTTTAGCACAGCATACTTAAATATGCACATCTGCAATACCCCAAGTGTACAAGAATTAAAAATAGTACTTACCATGGGCAAAGCAACTCCATCTTCTTACAGAGGGATTGAATGTAAACACTGCCACTCCTAGGATTGCGGAAGGCCTGGCAGTCCTCCACTGTAGCCATGCCAATCAGAAARTCAGCCTTGTCAGGAATGGAAATGGAAGGAGTAGCATCCTCCTCAAGATGTTCAGTGGAGTCTGCTTCCACTGTCACAGATCGATGGCGTGACATGCCTTGGCAAGCCTGGATGATAAACACCTTGGGTTTGCCAGCCAGAGAAGGACAATTAGTTCCAGTGAAACAGGAGGTTAATTCTTCGATATTTACACACTCGTCATCAACACCTTTTATTTTGTCTTTTTCACCATGGGACAAAATGAAGCAAACAAAACAGTCCATATTTCTGTGATCTTTTTTGCTGTATTCTTTAACTTTTTCTCGTATTTTTTTTCCTTCTAGATTCATGTACTCAACTGTCTCAAACTGAAGCCAGTTAAAGACTTTCTTCAAAGCCTCTGGGGAAAAAAAGCAGAAGGAACTTGTTAAATATACACAGTGACAAGGAAGATGCTTCTTCAAGGAAGATGCTTCTTCAAGGAAGAAACACCAGTGTCTGTATGATATATCAGGTATTAGCAGAAGGGTTCAGATCCCACCAACAAACTCACCTGACTGCCTCTTAGCCTGCCAAATCCTCTCAGAAAAACCCAAGTTCCTAATTTGCCTAATTTGTTTTTTAACACAAATGAGTTAAGTAACGGGTTTCAGATTATGTGATGTATTGGTACAAATTAGTGAAGTTTACTGTTTACTGTGTCAAAGCAAGCTTTAACACAGGTACTCTCAGATCTCTAAGAACAATTCTTAGTAAATTAAAAGACCTCTTTTGAATGACAAATTCTGCCAATGCAGTATTCTTAAATGCAGTAGGTCCCTCATTCTGTGAGAATGGTTGATGCAGCAAGAAGGAAGTCAGAGTAACCTGCTCACCAATGTAATTAAGATTTCTCAGCAAATGGTGGCCACATGGTTGTGTGGGCAGAGAGAAAATAGCTGGGAAGAAAGCAGCCTGTAAATGGGTTGGATGGAATTAAAACATCCATGATACTCCTTTCACTTTTTCACTCGTTTATCTTAAAAGTGACTTGCAGGAAGATAAGCTTTAAGAAAAATTACAGAGCATTTATTTGAGCATTGAAAAGAACCTGTTAAACAGTAAACTTCACTAATTTGTACCAATGCATCACATAATCTGAAACCTGTTACTTAACTCAGTTGTGTTTTGAGGACTTAAAGATATTTTTCTATGATAGTTAAGAATTAAAAACAATCAAAAAGTGAAAAGGTGGAATAATAATCACTTTTCTGCTAGTTGTACATATAACCAATTAAGACAATGCATTTTTTTAGAACAAAAAATAGTTCCTTCTTTAAGCCATCAGAAAATTGTTGAAAGTGGCATATTTCCTATTGTTACAGTGACTGTCACTCCAGTTACTCTGGAGGCCTCAGGGACAGGATTCTTCTTCACAGTAAAGATTAGATAATTGCTTTGAAGAATTATCAGAGAAAAAAAAACTGAACCAGAAATTGGACTTAAAAAGTACTTACCTCCATCTTGCAATGTTCCCTCTCTATTGTAATGTGGATTTTTAAAAATGTGGTTGTTAAGAATCAAACAGTAACCATGAGGGTTATTTTTCATCTTATATATTTCCCTGTCCTGCAGAAACAAAAAGAAAAAAAAGCAGGTAGGAAAGCAGACCAAGCATTCAAAAGAAAAATACGCTGTATACAGATTGCTGGTCCATCATTATCCAAGCACAAAAAGTATCACAAAGGCCAAGAAAAATGGAAGGAAAAGCCTAAGGTACAACCTAACTTCAGAGGTGAAGAATCTACATTGTCTCCCTGAACCCCTCCTCCTGTCTCTCTTTGTTCATTATTTTGACATGGGAAAAAGTATCCAGAAAAACAAATTTGAATGTGCATAGGAAAAGTTCTTGCACCCCATCATCCCTTCTGAAGGTCCTTGTGCAATTCCAGTGAAGTGCAGGTTCTGTTATTCCCTTCCCATCTTTCTGGGAGTATCCTGGCCAGGACTTTAATAATCCAGTCTCCATTATCATTAAGATTGGTTTTCTTCACTCAACTATTCAGTCATTTCTTGCTTAAAAGGTTGCTGACAACCAGGTCCCCACAAAGGTTGCTGACAACTAGGTCCCCCCCTGGTCTTGTTTGGAAAATAGGATTTTTTCAAGGCCTACATATAGAGCCAGAATCCCTCTGTCCTGGCTCTTCCACCTGCTTAGTGTTATGAATTTATGCTCCCTCTCCCAGGAGATGGAGAAATACTTTAAGGGTTATCTGGAGGTGTTTCTCACCCGGTGTGCTGCCCCCTGCTCTCCTCTTTGTTCCTCTGGATGCACAGATGCAGGCACAGAATAACGGACTTCTTCCCTAGAATAATTTTCTAAGAAGAAGAAGAAGAAGAAGAAAAGCAAAACATTTTAGGACTAAAAGGATAAATATTCCACTGCATATTCAAAAATCCAGAACGAGGAGTGAGGTGGAGCGTGTTTTCACACCATTGAGACATCAGCATTTTGTAGAGCTGGGCCAAGCAGAGCTCCAGTTTCACAGACTRGTGGTTATTATAGAAGCATGCAGAGTTGTGCTCCATTGCTTCTTTGTTCTTTTACTGGTAGCAAGATAATAAAGGCTGAATGTGAGTAGTCATCCCATGTGAGTAGGCAAGCCATTCACTAGTATCTCCACTGTGGGATAGGTAAGTGAAAGAAGAGACCCATTTTTGTACAGCAGTACAAAATGCTGGCCCATTCACTTCTGAGATACTGTCTCTTCCCCAGAGAGCTTTACTGTGTGGGTGGATGCACCAAAGATGCAAAATAACAGCATAATGAATGATTTCCTCAAAGCACTTATTTGAATACAACTTTCTGAAAAAAGTGTAGAAATCATCAAATCCATGATTCTAACCAAGGAAATAAAATCACAGTATCCAATTTAAAAGTTAATGAAATGTAATTGTCAGGGCAACAAGATCTACACAATATGTTTCTTTTCTACTTATGAAGAGAGCAAAATAATAACAATACTACTAAAAAGCCATTCCCCTGACATGGGATTTGCTTGCACTAGCCACTCTTGGCAATTATCTTCTGCTTTTTTAGAGACACCAGCAGAGGAGAGCAGCACAAACACATTCAGGGAGAACTAGCTGGTAGCTCTGCAGGGCCATCAAAACCAGAAAAGGCCCCAGCTCTGTTCTTAAACCATAGATTAAATAAATCTACCTCTTTTTTTTTCTTCATAGGCATCAATTTTTTTCTTTAAGTCAGGTCTAAATCGCTGTAATAKATCTTTCAGCATTGTCAGGTTATCTTCTTTAATTATCCCATTTATTTCCATTTCCAGAAAGACCTGCAGCATTGACTGGTAAAACAAAAACACACAAACACTCAAACTCATCCAGTGACCTTCAAAAACTGCAGTATCAGGTACCTCTGGACAGGGCAGAAGACAAYATCCTCATTCCCAGAGTCTGAGTAGCTAAAGACCAATTACTTTTCCCCCAAAAGTCATTAAAGCAAGGGTCAAGATGCAATGCAACTGAATAAACACAGGTGAAAGCAGGATGATGACAAACTGCCTGTGACCAGGCTATCCTGCTTTGTTTCAGCAGTACAAGACACTAACCAGAATAACATGACATTCTGATGGAAGTGCTGTTAAGTCCTTTAGCTATGACATTTTGCATTTTCTATTACAGAAAAATCTGTTCAGCACTAATTTTTGYTTATTAAAGCTCAACTGTCCACCARGTTGGAGGTAAWTCTGCTAATTYTYCYCTGYGTACTACAATACAAATAGAACTTCTAAGGAARGTTCTTAATAATACCAAGCATTTTTATAATACTGCTTATTACTTACAAATATTAAACTAGCCCACCCAACCTCTTAATACTTTTGGGAGAAAGTTAACATGTTAACATTATAATAAAGAAAAAAATACCCATTAACACACAAAAATTTGTGGTTGAACTCRCATTAGAACTCGATTTTCTGTCTCCAAAACAGAAAATCACTGTTAGCAAACATCACTCTTCTTAGATATAACATATGTCTTATAAAAATATATGTCTTATAAATGCCAAGCAAACATTAAAGGAAGAGCACAATGGATTTTACAAGAAGACCGGATTAAGGAGACAGGTGGTGGAGAGAAAATAGAATCAGGAGAGCAAAAAAGACAAAGATAACAATGAAAAAGAGTCCATTCTTTCACACAGCAGCTATCACAATTCTTTCAAACCAGATTTTCATGAGAGYAGACTGCTTTCTCTTTCCTCCCTTCTTACAAGAACTAGAGCACTCTGAACTAGCCTTGCAAAAAACTTCTCAAGGTCACTTTTCATACAGCATTTTCCTGGAGCTTGGTCTTCGGTAATCGCATTTGGAGCAGGAATTTCATATTTCTGACATCTTCTGGAGCCAAGTCTTCTGCAAGTCTATATAGCAATTGCCTGGCAATAAAAAAATAGAGAGGCCTTCAAGAAAGCTCTAACAAATAAACACCACAATTAAACTTTTGAACTGCAAAATGTAAAACTCACAACAGCAGGAATTCGTGCTGTAATAAATACAGTTATGCTGGGATATTGACAAAACAACTGTGCAGATTGTTTTCACGTGGAACTGTTGCATTTTGCATGCTGGTGTGTTTACCTGTAAGCTGACACCTGTGCCCTGCCCGGGAGCTGCAGCTCCCTGTCCATCTGCTCCCGGCTGGAGCCCAGCTGGGCACTCAGGAGGTCCATCCTATCGATGCAGTAGAGCAGCTCCTTCAGGAAGGACAGGTTCCCCACCCCRATCATGTCTTTCTCCTGCAGCACTTCGAAGAAAGCCTTGGGGTCCTGGATGGCTTCCAGCTTCCTCCTCGGGACATGCTCCASGCTGAGGAACTTCAGAGCTGCCAGTTCATCTGTGACCAATGCCTCAGAAACTTCAAAAAGCAGTTTGCGGAGGTCTGCACTCATTTCACATCAGGATTTGGWTCTAAACACAAACAGCAGATGATTTCATTTGTCAGTAAGACCAATACAACAACATGATTTATATAAGAGGTATCATATCATATAGAATTGCCCCAAATAAATTCATGCAATCAGGAGTACTTCAATAGAGAGAGGCTGTCTTGCTATCAYAGCTTTGATGCTCAGCTCTTTTGGTTCTCTGGACTTAAAAATATTAAAACCTCTGTACTAATTGACATTAASAGAGAAAGGCATAGATCATTCTTGCTTCTTGTGGTGTGTCTAGAGAGTGGGAAGTACAGATACACATCAGGCAGGCTGCTGCTCTTTTGTTAGGGTTTGGGTCTTTTTGAGGTTTGATAGCATTTGGGAGCAACAGCCACTTGACAGTCTGACTTWCAGACTACCTACTAATAAATGAGATTGCAAAGTTTCACACCATAACAAAAGTTTTACATCATAACAAAACTCAGAGTCCACATGAGTATAACTAGTCTAAGCTATCTGGCTTCTCCTTTCTTTTTATATTGCCTCAGTATACTCAAAGCACCTCTTCCTGTTTTGGTTTATCTGCAACAACTAAAATTCAGTTCCCAGTTCTCAACTGACTTGTAATATTAAAATCAAATACAGACCATGTCAGCCCTTTAAAAAMGGCTAGAAGAATTCTTATCAAGCTACCTCTTGTTTCGCTGAGCATGAAATACCTTCTCCCTTCTTCTCCACTTCCTCCATCAGCTTTAGAAATATTAAACTTGGCGTAAACTTATGGATTTAACTTTTGAGCACAAGAGATAGTTAGAAAATACCAAGTGCAAGCCTTCTAGCTACCTCACCCTGACACCTACCTTCAGTGATGTGATGACCTACGGGTATGTTGGTATTTGGTACAAGTTCTTGTTAAGCTGAACAAAGGCACCCGACGTGTCAGGAGCTCTCATTGTTTGATTGTACCATCTTCTTAACTGTGGCAACCAGCCCAATATTTAGACTCAAAAGGTATTAGCTAACATGCCCTTAAATTTAGGCTAACAAGCCCTTAATTTTGCACAGTACACTTCACAGTTCTCACAACAAACTCCTCAAAAGGTGCTGGCTCACAAGCCACAACACCCAACCAAAAGTGCTCTCATAACCCACGCTATTACTCAATATTGCTCTCACAAGCCACAACACCCCTACACCAAGTGCTGGCTCACAAGCCACAAAAATCTCAAAAAAATCTCACAAAAATCTCACAAAAAAGCTCCCTCCTCCCACAACTTCAAAATGGAATATGGGGTAAAATATTACAGCTGTGCAAGCCAATAAAGGAAATAAAACAAATAATATCACCAGTCCTTAGATCCTGTGTTGGTGCTGTCACATCTGGGTCTGGTTATCTAGAGCTGACACTTTCAGGACCTGTCTCCACTTCCTTCTAGTAAGAGCCATTTGCAATGTTATTCTCTCTGCCCTGGGTGTAAGGCACCRGGGAATCTCTGAAGAGAAATTCTATAAACACATTCAGAAGGGGTCTCTTGTCTTATAGAGGGACACTGTCAGTGGGAGACAGAAAAGTTAAAAATGACAAAAGAAAACTTGTTACTCCTACACTTCTGAAATATGGAATCCATTTTATTTACTGCTACTGCAAATGTTTCAATACCAATACTCCAAGGTAGTGCAACTGGGTAACCGATATTTAATAATTAGCAGACAACTGTACTGTGCTTTCCTCCAAGGACCACTCTACAGCAAAGCAGCTTTAAATCCATTGAAACTGAACTTTTAAACAGATAAGAATACATACCGTTCAGCCCATATGAATCAGCAGTATCTGAGTATGCTTAACCTCACAATTCAATGATTACCTGRCTTTATATTTCTGTAACCACGCAGAAAAGAATAATATTTTCTTGGTGGCTAGTTCTGAAGTTATCTTCTTTCTCACATAAATCATGCCTTTCATTTCAGATACAAGGAATATTGCTTATAAMAGCAAATCTTTCTTGTAAATGGAATTTTCATTTTATTTCTCAAATAATCTGTTTCAAACCCATCAAATTATTGCAGTTAGATGTGCCACCTATATGTTACATTTAAGCCTGTCTGTAATTACAGGGAACACAGTTAAAACAATATTTAACTGCCACTGTGTTTTTCTCCCAGATTACTAACTTAAAGACACAACTGATACAACAAGTAAAATTAATAGTAACGACAATTATTATTATTTTACATCACTTACGTGGGAGGACAGGTTGGTGGAATGTGGTGGAATGCTGGAACAACTGTGAAAAAAGTGAGGCAGCCAGTTGCTAAAGTTCCAGGCAAAGTACTGCCTTTTGTATGATAMGGTATTGCCACATGACTTCCAAGAAATATGTTTTTATCCTGCTAATAAAGCAGGAGATCCCTACCTTCCAGTTCCATATTCAGAAAACTGATTTTAACAGAACTTGTAAGAAAAGAATGGTAAACAAGGCACAAAAGTAATCATGCTCTGCTTTTAAGGCAACACACTAAGCAACATGCCTAGTGCTTTCTAGCATACAGCACAGCTCTTTTTGCTCTCATACACAAATCCTAATTAAAGACAGTGAGAGATGTCTGAATCAATTATATATTTTCATTTAAAATATCTCAGTCCCACTGTCCTGCTGTGTCAAGTCCCTCTCCAACTCACCCCAGCTTATTTTTAATAGGAAGATATTTCTTAAATTAAAAAGTCAACTGTTAGCACCAAATTCAGTGGCAGCATTCAGTAAATACAGGGAACTCAACAACTAAACATTCTTCTGAAATTATTTATGTTATATACTTCCTCATTTAGAGGAGAATTTGAACAATAATTAACTTTTTATATCTTCACCACCTCTAAAGTAAAGAATTCAGCCTTCAATGAAAAGGTTGCCAGCATGCAAGTTGACATTATGTTCCACACAGCAGGAAATAGAGAACAGCACTCAGTAGGTCTACCAGACTCTCAGAGGAGACTCTCAAAGCAGCATTACGAAAAGAGAGTYAGAAGAGCCGAAATTTGTCAAAGTTTTGCAATTAAAACAGTCATTCATTGATTTCAACCTATCTATACAAACTCAAAATTATAACATACCCTTTGATAGAATGAGGTGTACAAATTCCTTGCAAAAGGCACACTCTAGTAAGAGATCAGAAAACCCGGCCGGCTTGTTTCACTAGCAGGAATTGTGTCATCATCCAAAGGCTGGGAGCAGCACAAGTACTTTTTCACYTTCAGGTCTAAAATGTTTGTCTCCATATCATTCCAAGTCTCAACATCTCTTTCCCTGCATCATTTCTTCTGTGTCTTACCTGGACCAAGACYTCAGTTGGAGCCTGAAAGAGCCAGCATGCCGTGATATATGATGAAGTGATAATGGCGTCTATCTCATTCAGCAGTTTGAAGGACCACCCCTTTTTGCACTATCAGTTTCACTTTTGRTTTCTTCCTCTCTCACACTTCCTAGAAATGTTGCGGTCCTTTTGTTAAATGAGTCTACTGAATTTTCCTCAGCTTCTCTGTACTCTGGTTTCCTCCAGAACTGTCTCAGTAACCCAATCTTTTYCATGTACAGCTTGCCAAAAATTCATCTCCCTTGAAACTGTGATCTTGAGGAAGCAAAACTGCTGAGGTTATGCCTGCTCAGCAACTGTTGTTACTTTGGCCTGCAGTGGCACAAGGCGGGACACACAGCTCCTGCACAAAAAATTATGAGAGACAGGATACCAGAAACTTGATTCCCACTTTAAGATTGTGACCCTGCCAAGATACCAACTTCCCCAGAAGACTCTTTTTACACKAGTTCCACTTAAATCTGTCTATACAGGGGCTGCACAAGACACAGTCCTTCCTTAATTGTGTAGGTGGAGAGTGCACACGTGTGCATGTGTCTGTATGCTGKCAGGAAGCCTCAACAGCAACCAGCCACATGTGTTTGTTTGGGATTGGCTTCTTTCTGGCACAGCTCTTTGTTACTGGAGTTACAGGGAAGGTGTACAGTGCAGAAAACAAGGAGCGATGAGTATCTTAAGTTGCACAAAACCCACCCACTGTCCCCAAGACTTTCAAGCTTCCATTTCACAATACACTGCAGGAGATTACCTAGAAATGCCCAGCRTGGCAGCTGCAGTTGCAGTGCTAASCCTGCCCTGGCTTTGGGCTTGTGCTGACAAGTACCACAGAACGCACCCAAGCATTACAGTGTGCAGCCACACAAACACAGCTCTCAGCACACTCAAGTAAAATATTCACACTAATTAGTCTAAATCAGGGTMGTGTGAACTTTGTTGAAACAAACTTACAGAGCAAGGGAGATTTCACCAGTCTTTCACACTTCACAAGTGTGGATCCTTCCTCCCAGGGAATCCCAGGCAGAAGTCAGCTCAGACTCTTCTGACTGCCTTTACCTACCTATGATTTAACAGGAGGTTACCCAGGCAGGAGGTTAGAGAGAAAGCAAGGTAGCATGATGACATTCCCTGTCTAGCAAACTAAAAATGGAAACAAGACACCGCAAAACAAGGTCAGTGRTTACTCCATACTGATAAAAATGCATTTGTTTCCTACACATACAAAACGAGTGCATCAAGTCTAAACAATAACTGCAAGCCAGAAACATCACAAATCGATCCCAATGTAATATATTCCACTAAAGGAGAAAGCACCATTTCTCCTATCAGTGGTGTAAATGTGACTTCAAGTGTGGCAGCCATGCTAACACACAAGACTTAAAATGCAGTGGATTACAAAGTTCACACTACCCCTTTCATTATCACAAAGGGACTGTCATGGTTTGGAAAACTGGCTGCATTTCAACGCTCTGTATGATGCAAAACCCCCCCCCCTAAAAACAGTGCAAGCTAAAAATTGCATCCAATAGCACTGGACAGTACTCTTTCAAATCTTCACCTTAAGGTATTCCTAATCATATATAACAATGAGCATTTTGGTAAAATAAATTTATGTTTCACTTCAGTTTAAACCCCGAAGCATCTAAAACCTCACTTCTTCATGGAGCCCAATAAAGTGGAGGAATCAGTCAGAAACAAGGATAAGCCTTACCCAATACATAATTTTTATCTCACCAAGCTCTCTAAAAGTATGAATTTAATGCAGTCACAAACGGGAAAGACATAGGCATACATAATAAATGTCATAACAAAATAATATGGCATTATTTCAGTTAACTCACAAAATTCTGTTAGAAGCTTAGTCAATAGGAGCTTTGTTYTGCAAATGGCTGCATTTTAGATCCTAAACCAACAAATGATAATTAAAAAAYGTAATGTTTAACAAAGTTAATCTAACTGCTGTATCTCATAGCATGAAAATCTACCCTAAATTTTCTTAAAAGTGATGGGAAGTAGCAGCTCACAAAATTTCACAGAGGGAATAATATGCAGCATTTTGTTTTTCCTCAGTTTTGGAAAACTTCATTGTTCATGAGGTTTATGTTAGCCATTTGAAGGTATCAGTGTGCACTGTGGAACAAATTGCAGATTTCAGTTGGTAACTGGTTGTCTATTAAGTTAAATGTAATTTTCATTAGAGACGGAAGAAATCCTTTTCCACTTACTACTTAAGGTTTTGTCTCTTCCACTTTTTTCTTCTCTATGAACAAAGCTAGTGGATTTAGAAACATTATATAAAATTTTTAGCCAGCAAAATAAAATTAATCTAAACCAGAACATAAAAAATCCTGGTTTAGATATGAAAGCTTACATGCAATCTCTATGCTGCCAGAGAAAAACCTTTTTTATCTGTAATCTGTGCAGGTACAAAAATGTTTAGCAGAAGTGTGGTTCTTCCAACCCTGATGACTCTGAATATATAGATGATGTAAATAGCTGGCTAACAATTAAACGAATTGTTTTAATTGTGTCTCCTCCAGTTTCACAGTTTGGTTGACAAAATTTATGAGGCCTTGAACTGCAGCTAACAAATCCTCAGGGTTTTGCATAATTGTCATAAAACAGGTAGTGTGATGAACTGCATTTAAACAAGATAATAAAATTATGTATTTTAAAAGCCTTGATGTTGGTCTGAAGGAGGAGGATCTGCAGGTATAGGGAATATAAATTTTCTCCTTAAGGTATATGCTGGTTGGGGCATTTGCTTCTTTGTCCCTGAAGGGCTAACACGTCTGGCCACATCTTCATTAACTTCTGTAAGAATTGACAAAATATCTTCACCCCTACAGCCAGAACRAGAGCAAACAAAAAAAAATTACTTATTAGTGAGCAGGTGGCAATCCACTTAACATCTTCCTGATTAGCTAGAAGATACAGTATGAACATTTACAACAGAAAAAAGAAAACACATCCTTTTCTCCAAATTTCCCTTTTGTTCTCATTTGAGTCATATTAAAAATACAAGACCTTTCCGTGCTCTGTCTTGCTCAATTCAACCAATAAAATAAAAATAGTGGAAYAAAATATTTTTACCCATATCCACTCAAGAAACTGTGCTGCCTTAAGGATTATAGATGTGTTTTTCCACAATACACTTAACATTCATCAGATTATATGTATGGCACTAGCAATGTTAAATTAAATTTACCAGTGTAAAATCTTCAGTTTAACTAATTCTGTCCACCTTAGAAGAACATGGGCAAGTGTTCCTATATGAACTGCCTTTGGAGAAGAARAATTTAATCAGAGTACTAAGCCAAGTATTTACCTTGGTACCAACAACTGCAGCTTGCTGCAGAGGGCCTGAATATACCAAGAACCTTCTTCAATGTGCCGGAAAGAGACAAATCCATCAACTGTGGCCATGCCCAGGAGGAAATCAGCCTCTTCAGGAATACTTTCAAAAAGAGAAAAGCTCTCTTGCATGGAAGACAAATCAAGAGTTTGTTGAGCAGCATCAACATAGACAGGGCATTGTATATTTTTACCCTGGCATGCTTGGATAAAGAAGAGTTTGGGTTTTGCAGCCAGCTGGGGACATTGTTTGGCAGTGAAGTGGGACATAATTGTGCGTATTGACACAAGTTCCTCATCTGTCCCATAGACTGCTCCTGACTCTCCATGAGAGAGAATGCAACATATAAAACAGTTCCTGTCTTTGTGRTCTTGCATTTGCTGCCAAGTTTGCATGAGATTTATAATATCCCCAGACGTCAGATCTGGGTAAGTCCTCACATCCAGACCAAGCCATCTGAATACTCTCTCCAGTTGCTCTGTAAATAAATGAMAGATAAAAGAAAAATTCAAGCCAAGAGAAAAACATTTTGTGAAGTCACCATGCAAGCTAATCTTGGAGGGGAAAAGACCTTACACCCTGACAGTTCTGCAGATTCATCCTCATACTAGTACCMATGAAAGGTTAACTGAAATAAAAAAAAGATGGCATCAGTCAAACACAGAGTTCCTGGATTGTTCTAGACAAGTTTCAGAAAACAGTGTGCAAAATGTTGTGAGTGCATAAATGACACTTGAAAAGTACAAAGAATCTGCCCTTTCCCAGTTTCAGATCTTTCAAAACATTCCTCACATCATTATTTTCCACTTGCAGTTTTGACTATTACATATTATTTGACTTGTTCCATACATGTGAGACAAAATAGAGAAAACAGAATGAAGTAGGAAGCYTGCACAGAGTTGCTTGATTATCAAATTTTGCATACTAGGTCGAATGATAGGTTAATTTAGTTTTAGTTCTTTACTACAGCTGTGGATAAAGGATATATAAAGAGATTCTTAAAATTATACAAGAACAATCCAACTGAAGAATCCAGTGGATTCTTCTTCTTACTCATCCTTTAGCCCTTCTTCCCCCCTAGGACACACAAATAACATAATTTAACACATATCAAACATTTTAATCTTTGAGAATATTAGCTAACCATAGACAATAAAATATAGAGCAATACTACATAATCAACTCACCTGGAGAAACAGAGACTTATCCTCCAAAAAYCTCACTTCAGCAACTTACCAGCATCTTTGCAAGAACCATTCCTACGAGAATTATTGAAGTTAACATTATTGATAATGAGACAAAATCCTCTGTGTGGTCCATCCATTTTGTAGCTTGTCATAYTCTGAAGAAAGGAGAAGAAAAAAGTTTACAGTTTCAATGAATTTACTCACCTTACTCATATTTTTTAACACATCTTAACATTGGCTTCCAGGAGCCAAACTCTGCAATCTGCATTGGTGATGGCAACACATGTCCCCAGGCRTTTCCAATGTCAAAACAATATTTTAACTTCCTGGTACAGGGTTCTGAGTGAAACTACATGATGTCAGACATCTGAGTTGGYTTTTATTGAGAACAGTAATGAATACCTGGAGCAGGTGATTCATACTGCCCCATTGGAAAAGGATGCAATCAGAACAGAAATCTCAGAAGTGCATAAACCAACCCCACTGCAGTTTTTTRTTAAGAGTTAATATTACCTCCCACTGTTAAAAGTTAACATTTTAAAAGCTGAAAAGTACTCAAACTTCAAGTACCATGTATTTAAGTCCAACCTTRGGTTGAAATAAAAAACTCCACTGCAGTTCCTTCCTACTCACTAGAGTGCAATACACATACCTCCTTTTCGTGAATTTTAAGTACAACAAAATGAAGGCAGCACTCCAAGTTCCTTCAACAGCTTTGTTACAGCAGTCTGAACATCAAGTGATGAAAAGATATGCTACAGCACTGAACTTCAAGAAATTAAATAGCTATAAACAAATGGAAGTACTTGATCCTTCAATATCCATGGTCATCATAAAGAAAAGGCCAGAGGGAGAATTCAATGGTTACACTGCTGTGGTTAAAAGACTTCTAAGAAGGGATCTCACAAAAGAGGTGTTTTCTCATGTACCAAGATCTCTGCAATAGCTTACTAAAAACTCTTAGCTTCTTTTAACCCTTTCAACAAGGCCCCTGAGGCCTTTTGTAAGCCAAATTCAAAAAGTGAGAACTGCGAAGCTCCGTTTGTCTCTGTGTCTTGCACATGGTGTCATCTCCAAAATGCACAACTTAGAAAAATGCAAGATGTATTTTGCCTTTATCAGGAAGATRAGCACATGCACTGATGTGTGAATTTCAAAGTTTATTATGTCCATTTTGCCTATACCACACCTTTCAAAAATGCTAAATTTCTGGCCTCCAAAGTTAAAATATTCTTTGAAAAATTCCAATTTATTAGTCAAGAAACTTTCTGAGACAGACAGACATCTCACAAGTCCTTGCATGATAAATGTCATCAGAGAGAGGATGAGGACCTCATACCCCCAGGTATTTGAAAAGTATTTAAAAGATTGTCTCAAACCTTGGATTTATTTTCTACATTGCCGAATTCTCCACGCAGCTCCAGGTTTTTCTCGGGGAAGCCTTGTGTAAAATTGGTTGCCGTGTTATCTAGAAAAAAAACCCAGCATAGATATTTATGAAGATAAACCCAATATTTGTGGACATAACAAAAAGGAGTTTAGCTACAATACAGCACTTTTTGTATCTGAAATACTGTTTCATTAAAATAAATAATTCCTCCATACAAGATAGCATGGTCATGTTCAATGGATTGATTCTGAATGTTTTCTGTTTATTTTTATTGTATATATTTTTTGACAGAGGCAAGGTTTCTATTAGTATCAATATTACAAAACAAAGATATCCATCGTACAAAGATAAGATACTACTCAAGACATTTGAATGAATTTTTTRTCTGGAAATTAGCTTAACAGCATATTTGTATTTAAGAAGAATCTGCAATCTTACTATTGAAGTTCTCATTTTTTACTTTTTTTTTCTCCTGAATCACTGATAAATCTTTTTTTTTTATATAAGAACAAAAATCATCTGTGTCCAGCCCATGTATCAGACACACATGCACACCCAGTTTGTCTTGCCAGCTTATTAGCAGGCTACTGCCTTTATGTAGTGTACATTCATAGATCACAAAGTGCCTTTTATAGGACTGTCAGCATCATCTCAATACTATTAATGGGGAAATGGAGAAGTGTGACAACTATAAACAGATTTTCAGCTTCTCAGCCTGTTCTGTATGYTCTGGGCTGCTGTGTGTGGCCTCAGATATTCCAGCACACCCCTCTATTTTCAGCTAGGAAATAATGCAAGCAAGGGATTGTTATGCCAGATTTGTGAAGGTAAGTGATCTCACTCAACTCCTGTTTCAGCAATACACACATATGACCTCAAGTTCAGYTGCCCAGAGCCATCTAGTGCTTCCTCCATTTTAGCAAACCTACTCCTGGAYTGTGAATTTCTCACCTTTTGCCTTTTTGTAGCAGTTTATTGTCTCCAGAAGATCAGGTGAAACAGTCTTACAGACTTCCTCCAGTACCTCTACATTTTCTTCAGTTAAAAGGCTCTGTTTTTCCAACAAAGTCAGCAAATCCAAAGCAGACTGACAGTCAAAAGGAGAGAGTAAAATATAATTATTGTTCCTTAGAAATCAAAACTTGTCTTTCAGCACTGTCCATCTCAAACAATCACATCATCATCATCTGCTTTGCTCCCTACCAACATGGACCAAACAGCCAATGTTACATCACTGTSAAAGCAGAAATGTTGCTTCATGGAAAGCCACTGGTTGTGTTATTATTTGGTATGGTCTTGTTTAAACAAATTCACCATATTAATGACTCTTGGCTTTAAGAAAGCTTCATGGCTGTGAAACAGCACCAATGACATATGGACATGAATCTCCTTTTCATATGGCTCAGGCAGGGCAAAGATCTGATTTGTCACCTTTTTATAATCTGATGCTAGACAGTGAACTGTCAGTGACTGACCTGGGCACTACGCTTACCTGTCAACATTTCTTTTTGCCAACTCTATTAACACAACCAGCCTATTGGCTGCATATTATACTCTGTTCTGCCAAACACGTCTCATACTTTTCCTCCATTTCCCACCTCCCTTCTTCCCTTCCCACCATATACACATTTCACATACAAGAGTTGTCCATCGCTTTGGAAGACGGTTTTGCAGGAGGAATATGATCTCCTTCAACATCTCATTGGTGATGTTCTCTGACAATTCATACAGCATCTGCCTGTAACAGAGATCCAGTGACATAGAAGTCGAACAGAAGATGGTACAAAACCAAAGGCAATCTAAGAACTTAAAAATGGAAAGGAAAACAGTATGGCACAGATAGAAGTAATGGAAGGAATAGAATTCCACTGCAAGCTTACCTGTATGGAGATACTCTTCCCCTCTCATGCAGATGTTCTTGTACTTTCTTCTTGCTGTAACCAAGTTTCTCGAGCAAGGCATGACATTTAATTCTGTATAAGAGTTCAGCTAGTAGGAAAGTGTCTTCTGCACTCAAATAATCTTGATTCACAAGAAGCTCAAAGATGTCTGCTGCTGACCTCACACCTTCTAGTTTTCTGATGTGGAGCAAGTCAGAACAGAGAAATTTTAAAGCTGCTACATCTTCGGTCACCAGATTTTCACTAATGAGGAAAAGCTGCTGCTGGAACTTCAATCTGATATAATCCCCCATGTTGCTGGAACCAACAGTCTCTGCCTGAAAGCAGAAAGCAAACACTAGTAATACTTGAATCTTCAATRCAGCAATCCTTCTATTAAAATTTTACCTAATGACTGTTTGGAAGCCCTGAATTACCTTTTAATAAATAAAGATTTTAAATATATTTGAAATTTACTTCCTTCTCTRAACACAAGACTACAAAAAAGACCAGATTTGGCAGAAGCTCAAAACAACCCAGTCTATAATTGAAATTAACCCTCCTCTGAGCAAAAAACTGTGCAAAATGACCTCCAGGTCTGAATTTTTTTTCTTTTAAACATCTTCCACATTCAGATCTTTGCTTCTCTCCACTGTAATCRGGAAGAGTCCCTGCAGTAACTTATTACAACTATTAATTGAGACAGCACAGTGGTTCATGTACATTCCTTGACCTGCACTCCAAGGGCTTCCCTGGCTGTAGCAGGGAGGTGTTCCTCTTGTTACAAGGCTGACATCCAAGCTGGAATATCCATCCACTCCCAGTCATATCTTGCTTCCAGGTTGTATTTGACATTTGGCATTGAAAAACCCTTATAAGGCTCCCTTACAAGTAGAAGTCAGATAAACTGTAATAGCACTCAATGCTCAGTSTAAATAGGCTCTGCACAAGCAGAAGCAACTCAATCTAACTGAGGTTTAACAGACTGATCAACCTTCTACTACACCAACTTCTTCCATGTAGCCTAGGTAGTTCTTTTCTGTCCATGGAAGGTTAAATAGGTAAAAAAGGTTCTTCAGTGCCTTCTGGCTGGYATGACTTCAATCTTTTGTTTAGAGCAGCTGGAAGCAAAGATTTCTACATGAGGGAGCACAAGAAAAATACCAGGAAAGCAAAGTAGGGACAGGACCTACTTTGGAGAGAATCCAAAGCCTTTGCAGCAACTGGGAGGACAGGTCAGCAGATGATATCACAGATGATATTACAGATGATATCACAGCACGTGGGGGCACAGAGGAGCCCTCTCCCATGCTGAACAACTCCAGCTCTCAGCCTGTCTTCGCAACAAAGGTGCTCCATCCCCCAAACATCTTCACAGCCCTCCTGTGGACYCTGCTCCAACAGGTCCACATCTTTCCTGCTCTAAGGACCCCAGAGCTGAATGCACTCCAGGTGGGGTTTCACGAGGGCAGAGCAGAAGGGCAGAATCACATTCCTCGATGGGCTGCCAGTGCTGTTTTTGATGTAGTCCAAGAGGGGGATGGCCTTTTAGGCTGCGAGTGCACACTGTTGGGTCATGTCCAGCTTTTCATCCACAATAACCCCGAGTCCTTAACTGCAAAGCTGCTCTCAATGACTTCTCTTAGTCTGTACTTGTATCTTGAATTGCGCTGACCTAGGTGCAGCACCTTGATCTAGCTCTAATTCCTTCATCTACCTTTAAAATGGTTTTCAGGTCTCTGTTGCTACCATTCTTGGAAAGATTATTTTTCATTTCACACGTTTCCTGCTTGAGTTTGGAACACCTTCAAGACTTCTCCACACTTTCCTATGCGAACTAAGTTCTCCTCCCGGCCTCTAGATGCCTCTCCCAGCACTATAATACCATCTGCTCACGCCCTGCTCAGCTTACTGCTATGGGGTTTTTTAGAACCCTCTACCTTCATACTTCACAGGTCGCTGATAAAAACATCATGGTAAAAAACACAGAGAAGTAACGAATCAGCGCCTCTAATGTATGTTTTCAGATACACCCTCAGAGAAGGAAAATAGTATAAAACAAGAAATTAGGATTGTAAAATTATCTTTTTACAAGTTTTACTGCTTGGGGCACTGCCGCAAAGATTGAAAGACAATGCCAAAGCACAGAGCGCCCGGAACACTGAGGCTCAGCCTGCAAGCACACGTGGGGGGAGGAGGTAGGACGCCACAGACAATGAGCGAAATCAAGCTCTGGGCTCGGAAGATGGAGCCCTCMTTCGTTCCCTCCCCACTTTTTGGTACCTCTTACACGAATTCCAAGCCCGACCCCTGTCCCGGCAGCTGCCCGGGATGGCGGTTCGCAGCTCCTTTGGCGGTCCCTGTCGCGGCCGGCGGGCTGTGCCCAGTGCCCGCCCGAGGTAGGGGCGGCGTCTGCAGCAGCGCGGGAAGGGGGATTAAGGGGATGTGAGAGAACGAGACGAGGCAAGCCCGAGAAGGGGCGCACGGATGTCAGCCGCTGGCGAGGGCTTTCATGGAGCACGGCAGCACCGTCCAGCCCCGCCGAGCAACCCACGGCTGGGGCCCGCCCATGTCCCCCTGAGCAAACCRTGGCCGGGGCCCGCCTGCCCCCAAACCTCAGAGCGTTGAGCCGCGGGTTTCCCCGCGGAGGGGGAAAAAGCTTCAGGCACCGCCTCCGGTACGAAATGCAAGATGTGACCYTGGCTTTTGCTGCTGTRAGTGTGAGGAAAATTAATCCACAAACACCAGAGGTTTATGTCTAAAAAGGAGACAGAGGAGTCCCGTAACTTTATTCGAATAAAGGGAGAGGCCATGGGACATTTCCATGGGGTCTCTYAAAYTGTTAGAGGACGCAGCCTCCTTTTTGTCCTAATTTCCCTGCCGCATTTCCCTCTCTCTTTCCCCTTTGGCTGAGGTACTTGAGAGGCACAGACTTACCGAATCACCTAATACAGACCCCCATCTAATGTGCATCCCCTCCTCCTTTTTTATTCTTTGTGTCTCTGTCTAAGTCTAGGGATTTAGTATTGTCTTGGGTGTGTAACAGTCTGTGTCAATCTATGGAATTTATGGTTCCTCCCGTTGCTCCTTTTACCTATCAGTATCTGGCTGTATCTACCAGGAGACTCCATAATTTGTTTGTAAAGACATTGATCATTTCTTTCATGAGGCAAATTAATCCASAAGCAGCAGAGGGTTTTGTTCRAAAAGGAGACAGATGAGTCCTGTAACTTTGTTCATGAATAAAGTGAGAGGTCATGGGCATTTCCCATAGGGTCTCTCAAACTGATAAAGGAGCTGGAGAACTTCACAGCCAAATTTWACAAGCTATAGGGGTCTACAGGATAAACGGACCAAGAATTTCAGAGTTATTGTATGGTCTAGGGGGAAAGAGGCACAATTAGTCTGACTCCATTCAGTGTCACGGAAAATTTATTTAGAAAATCAGCTTGAAACCYAGAATTTGTATTGAATTATAGTGTCTTATTGTTTCTAATACAGAAGCTGAAAAATACACATTATTTAACTGGCCACAGAAAAGCTGTCAAATAATTCAGTACAGGAGATTTACTTTAAATAGAACACAGTTAGATCATTCACACAGATAGCAGCCTCTTCTCAGCAATACCATCCTGCATGTCAAAAACTTAAAACTCTGGAGAGCAGAAAAGAATTCTCAGAAACTCTTAAAAAGCTTTTCTGACTGACATATCTGTAACAGGAGTCACTGTTACTTCTTACACAGACTTGAAAGGGGAGATCAGCCGTACAACAGGTTTCATCCATAAGTGGTAGCACTGTAACTTCCTATTGAACATAACTTCTTGTTTGGATAATGAGTTGGCAACCACTGTAACACACAAGCACGTAACAGCACAAAGTGAACTCAATTTATGGCTCAGCCACATCAGTGTAGGTGGCTGAGAAAAACCATGCTACTTAAGTCTAGTTCAAAACACCACTGAACCTCCTGCCTCATGAGTACACCTTCTGAGCCACTGAAAGGCATCATCTATATTCTGCCAAGTYTCTTTCTCCTCTTCCACATATACAGCACATATAACTACAAGAAATTTCCATTCCAGTTCTCTTCCCCCTTTTCTTTTGGCTWATGAATCATTTAACCTGACATCATTTTACTATCTGCAATACAGGGACAACTTGACCCGGCATGACGCCCTATGAGGAGASGCTGAGATCACTTGGTTTGTTCAGCCTGAAGAGGAAGAGACTGAGRGGAGACCTCATTGCAATCTTCAACATCCTCACAAGGGGAAGCAGAGAGGCAGAGGTATCAATCACTCATCTCTGTGATCAGTGACAGAACTCGAGAAAACACCATGAAAATGTCAGGGGAGTGTTAGGTTAGATTTTAGGAAGAGCTTCTTCACCCAGAGGGTGGTTGAGCACTGCAACAGGCTCCCCAGAGAAGCGGTCACAGCACCAACCCTGACAGAGCTCAAGAAGCTTTTGGACAACATGCTCAGGCACATTKTTGGATTCTTGAGGTATCCTGTGCAGGGCCAGGAGATGGATTTGATGATCCTAATGGGTCCGTTCTAACTCAGCATATTCTAGGAGTGTATGATTCTATAAGCTATGGGAGAAGTGACAAACAACTGCCATCAAAAAATTCCAGCATAAAAACACACTTCAGTGCTACTTCTCACTATGCAGCAGGTACAGGCAATCAGCAAATATGACTCTTGAAAGAGGTGTCAAAGCTGCTTAGGTGAATGATTACAGATTGAGTACTGCTATGGTTTAAAAATCTGCCAAGGATTAAAACATCAGCATAAAAAAATCAGTATCTGATATCCATGAGTGCTGCACAATACATAGCTGTCCCTGCAACTCTCTGGAGGGTTGTAATCACTTCTAACCCAAGCAGCCATACACAAAGAGACTTCCTTCTTTTTCCACTGAAAGGACTAATTACACAAGCCTCTAGTTTTCTAAACAGTATTTCCGCATCATTTCTTAATCAAAGGGACATGGACATACTCTGTCTTGCAATAAKGCAAAGAACATATATACTTCTTAACCCCCTGTAAAAACAAACTTACATCGTCACAAAACTGTAAAAACGGAGTATATTCTACTGCTAACATTTTAAATAAATAATTGCATTTAGCATCACTCAAAACCCCCCAGCCAAYCAATCCACAAAACATCAACCAACTCACCACATCATTAGTCTGTAACTATTATTCTCACTTCCTTTTTTTCTGTTTTCTTCTCCTTCCAATACTGATACTGTATTTCTGCTCCAAATTGTCTTTCCCTCACTTGTTCTTCTCTTGATGCTCCCTACCATTCCCCTTCTTGTTCCTGCTTAAAATTTCCACATTTCTTTTCCTCATCTGCCTGCTCTGGGTTCCATTCTCCCTGCTTTTGGTTGTCTATAGGGTAGCAGAAGTGCTTGTCAAATGCAAAAGCTAGTAAGGGAGATGGGAAAGTAAAGTTAACTTGYGAAGATCACATTTATTAACATCACTTAGATACATATAATATGTAATTACATCTTATTTCCACAACCACAGTAAACATTTGCTTCACCATTTGATTCATTTACCAGACACCACAGGTAGTAACTTCTAAGATTCCAAATCCGTCATTTGGTTTCCTTCTGTTTTTCCCCTACAAAACTTAACCAGAAACCAAGCAAGGCACACCAAAGCCTTGATTCTTTTTCCTGGATAGGAAACTATATTAGGAGTAAAAACTAAATATATGTAAGCAGCCTACTTTTTTGTCACTAAGTTCAGTGACAATAAATTTCAATTTAATTTCAATATTGAAATTTCAATTAAATTTCAATACAACCCATTCAGGTTATACTGTTAAACACAAGCAGGTAAACTTAACTTTTCACATTAAGCAACTGCTACAATGGAGAAAAAWTTTTGTATTTAGGACAATTTTCATTCTTTTTCACAAGAACAAGAACACCTGGAATACAGATTATTGAAAAGATCACCCCTCTCTCTCTTCTGTTTTGCCAGTCTATAGAGGCAGGCAAGTCAGAACTTGCTAGCAAAGATCTGGCATTACTGAGTAGGAATGCCTTCCTGAGGCATTTGCCACTATTACATGGAGAGGAAATTAATCATCGTGTTTCAGTGGTTTGGGATGGCTTTTGTTGTGTTTGTTTATGCATTATTGCTAATTGGTATGTATAAAACCACAAATTAAATAACAAAAAAAAATTTGTTTTTTCTTGGAATTCCAACAGCTATACAGTTTAGCCCTCTTTGCACTCTGTTTACCTGTTAAATTCAGTAGCAAGATCTGTTACAGTGCTATACAATAGCTACCATTCTCATCCAAGCTTTCAGAGACTACTGTATTAAAATAGAAAATCTAGTGTCTTAACAGACTAAAATGCGTGTAAATTCCTGTRTTCAGAAGCAACAGGCACTTTAGATACACATGACATAATAATGCATAATAAAAAGGTAGGCGTGAAACTGTTTGCATCATAGCAAATGCTTCTTGCATGTACTTTCCAACAGCAGTTAAGTGGGAAAAAAAAGGTTCTTCCTCAGTGTGTGCTGGAGCAGAAGTGAGTATTGTTGGCTTGGGTCGGCAGTCATATTCCAATCATAAACTTTTTTATTCAGTTCCATGTGGATATCTAATACAGAGAGTTTCCTGCAGCAACAAAAGCAAAAGCGTTTCATTAGAGAATGAAGCAAGAACCATTTAAGAATCCACAAGAGACAAGATAACTTTAGACTCGGCAAGGAGAAAGTTTGCAGTTTCAGTCTTTACTGCAGAGGCAAGACCTCTAAAATGCAAGGCTGAACAAGCATTTTCAGGCAAATTTTTAAGACCCAAATCATTGTTGTGATAATAATTATGCTGACATGATGATCTGCRATTTCATTACAAGGCTTTAGGGTTTGTAAAAAGGTACTGAATGTTAACAYTGCAACTACCTTGAATACCAGTTGTTAGCTCCCTGGTAGATCAGCTGTATAAATAAAACCTTTAGTTAGTAAGTTAGATATCCAAATGTATCAGATTCTTGCTCAGATTCCTTTTGATCTCTTTCGATTTCTTTAAATAGACAAAAGTCTTCTGACCTTCAAATCCAAGATTACATATGGGCAATCTATTGGCTCTGTGAGCAAAAGGTTCATTAAATCTACRGAAAGTAGAAAATCCTTCCCCTCTATTGCCTTCTTCCTAAACTTAAGCACTGACGTTTTATATTTGCAAGCASAGCTCTTCCTAATGATACATGGCAATCCTCAATATAACAGAAGCCTGGAATGTCCCTTTTTATTTTGGAGAAGGAAGATTCCCAATCCTGTCTAAAGCGCTGACATACATTATCCAGGACAGGTTCTTCCTTTCCCACCCTGCAAGCCCCAGTGCCATAACACACTTTAATCTGACTCTTCATAATCACAAACTTCTACTACTACTCCTAATTTAGGCTACCTTTCTATGCAATTGTGAGAGTATCAGGGATTTTAGCCTACGACACTGCAAGAAAACACATTTCAGGACCAAACGGGATGAAACTTAGGGTTTTCCATTCTCCATGACAACAAGCTATCCTAGGAAAAGGATTATTGCTTTCCTCTTATTTTAATTTACCTTTTATAAGGATTACAGAGTAGCTCAGCCAGACAACGCAGATAATGCGAGGATGAAGTTGGGGATCGTTCTAGTGTAGAGACATCCACTTTGCAATGACTCCAAAGGATATCTGCTGCTTGGGGGATAGTGACTTTAGCAGTGAAATTCTCATCATCCCCATCGACTTCCAACAGACTAGTACATTCTTCCTCATTTTCTGACACAATATAGCTCTGAATAAAAAAAAGCTTTGGTTTTCCTAGGAGCCCAGGACATGAGTCTGCTGTGAAGTATTTCTTTATTTGTTCCAAAGGGAATCCAGAAAAGGTATGGTCTGTRCAGAAGATGCTCTGAGAATTTCCACGACTGACCAATACGCAAATGAAGCTGTCACAATTTCTGTGCTTCTGCCACCTTGCAACTTCAAGCAATGCTTGATTCATGGAGTTCATATTTAAATATCTGTGACAATGAACATCATAGCCTAAGCCTCTGAAGGTCTCTTCCAACACATCTGAAAGAAGCAAGATGTAACTAAATCAGAGTATACCAAGGCTCAGTCCCTACTATATTGAATTATACTATTTACAGTGTTTTGCTATTGGAACAAAGTAGTTTATTTTATCACAATAATTAAAAAAAGCAGGAGTATTCGGTGTCGACCAAAGTACCTTACATATTCACAGTGCGATTTACATGTTGTCTTTACTAGGAGTTACATGTTTCATGACAGCAGAGACACTGTCATTTGGCATGTGATCTGTTCCAAATTCCACAGAYATTTACATGCTTTCATTTAGAGCCACTATTCCAAGTTCCCCAGTCTTAAAATATCAGGTGAGAAAAAACAAACTTGAAATTATAGTGATCTGGATAGCATGGGAAGTCTGCTTCACCTTCTAACTTGTCAAAATTACTCTGAATGTTTATTACAAATACACAGAACTGCATAAGAAACACAGTTCTCTTTCATCAGTCAGAAATGAATYTGCTGCAGTAAATTTTGCTTCCTATTACATAAAATATTAAGTGATGAGTTCCAAGTGAAGAATGGCTACTGTAGTCTTAATTGCAACAAAATGCCATTTTCAGGCAAAAAATAAAGCTTTTTTCTTTTTTCATTAAAAAATAATGAACTCTTTCAATCGATCTAGAAATTAAAATTGTAGGTAGACAAACCCCAAGATTTAACTCTTACTGTATTTGTGTTAACCTGTGCTGAAGGAAAATGTGTTAAGCTCTGAATAGCTACTTTGGATGTTTCTTAATATGGGAGTGAATCCAGATACATGATGGTTAAAACCACAGGTATTAAGTGTTCAGAGAACCACAACAAACTACTATAAATTGCACCTGTAGCATTGTGTTTTTTAGTATAAAACAGATAAACACTGCCCATKCACAGCTTCTGGTATGAAAAGAATTATCAAGCACCATGTTTACATAAAATACCTTATACACATAAAAAGCTTCCACACAGCTTTCTTTGACTTTGAAAGTTTAACAATCCCTAATTAGCAGAGGATATTTCAGGGGTAGTGGCATCAAAGCAGCTGTATTACCACACTGTTCTCCTCAAAAAGCCCATAGTGAGCACAGAAAATAGAACTCACAACTTTCCTCAGCAAAATAAAGAGCAGATACAAACTCTACACYATAGTAAGGTGATAAACAAGAACTATAGTTTCCTTCCAGTTCCGCTGTTTTGATTCAATTTCGTAAAATAATTCAAAAACCATCCAGACATTTTTAATTTGAGATAGAAAGATAAAATCTGCCTATTCTATGCAATAAAACATGCTCTCAAAACTCAGACTATTCAGCATCACTACGATCATAACATACTCGTTGAAGACGTCCTCCATCAGCCAGAGGGCAGCAGTACACGTACAAAATGAGAACTACATCAGTGAGAGTACAGTTCTGGTAATGTGATCTCACTGGCACATGCCAATACACAAATACAAAATCCGGTGTCACCTTAGTCCCCACACACAATGTGGGAAATTTTGAAAAAACCAACTAAAAAATTTAGAGCTGACACCTTAGTTTAACAATGAATCAGAAATTATATAGGGTAAACCTTGAATACTTTAGGGCAAGACACACCACAGCATTACATGCTGCAGTCTGAGATCAGAAACGCTCTCTTTCTTCAACACTAGTCATCTCCCAACAAACCTCCACCGACTTTTCAGCATCTCCATACTGCATAAAATACCAGCATTTTCTCCATAGTGCTTACAATGTAAGGATAAAAATTGATCTCTAAATGGAAAAGTCAAGCATTTGATAAATTCATGSTGTTTACACTGGGCATTTTAAATTCTTGATCCTGTAGTATTAATGGCTCACATTCCTAAGATTAAATCTTGGGATAGCTACAGATTCTCATGGATGCCACAGATACAATTCCTATTATTTTCCCCGCTGTCTTCTTTTTCTGAATGTACTCAGACTGCAGAATAGTGTGGCACAACAACTCTCTAAGTGGTGACTGCCTTTCTAGCAAACTCWTTTAAGCAATGTCATTCTCTGTCTTCCCTGAATCTCACTAGCATCATAATGTATTTCAGTGGAAGTCTTGCTTTCYACCATGTTAAATGCTGACAATGCACTGTTGACTTTAAAAATCTGAAACACAGATTTTCTGTGTCTGACCTCCACAACCACTGCTCTTCAACAACATGAACAATTCTAAGCTAGTCCATTGGCTGGAAATAACATTTGAGAAAACCAAATGATATATCCAAAAAGCTTCTCCTTTCCCTACATCTCTCAGCCAATTACTGAACTGAATGCAAACACTCTCTTCATTTTTATTTTTACCTTCACATGTTAGTGATTAGAGTAAGGGGTGTTTTTGACTAATATCTAATTCTTGGATTCTACAAAAGGCAACCCCCACATTTCAACCATGGCAGTGACTACACTGACAGCTATGGTGACACTTTCAGTTAAACTGTGCAAGATACAACAGAAGACCAGGTGCATTATTAATAAAGGATCCCATGGCTATTCAAAATCTACAATGTCCAATATCTGAGATTAACAAATTAGGGAACTCAAATTAGGGAACAGAGACTTACCAGTGTCATTGCCAATGCAGTCTATTATCAGGCATATTCCTAAAGGTTGACTTTGCATTCTGTAAGGATCATCAAACATCTGAGAAATGTGTAAGGAAAATTACAAAGTTAATACATCACTTTCTCAACTTTTAGGCCTTACTACTTTCTCTAATTTTATGTCAAATCTATTAAATTACGTTCTGTTGTTTTCCACTGAGTAGCTAGCAGAAATCTGTCTACTTGGTTGCAGTATATCTTATCTACACAACAAAAAATCAGGAGAAAAGGACTATTCATTCTTTTCCCTCTATTTCCAGTACAGGCTTGCTTTTTCGTTCTTGTGTTATGCTATCTTGCTACTATAAAGATTCTTAAACTGAGACTATGACTGTACAAGAAATGATTGAAGCAAGTCTGAAATGAACCTTAGCTCTGAACAGATCTTCAAGTCTGTCAGGTTTTGGAGTTTTTTTTGTATGGGATAGAGGGCTTTTTAAAGACCTGCACCGTGACAGCAATAGTCCTTCTATAGTACTTACAAATTAATTTATGTATTTAAGTATAAAATTGTACATATATAAACTTGTATATTATATAAATTGTATAAATATAAACTTGTACATAACGTAAGTATTATAATATATAACTATTATAATACTGTTTCTGCTATTAAGATATTGGAAGCTATAAGCTTCATACTGCCAACCCATTAAATGCAGAGAACTTTTTTGTTCTTCAGGTGTGCAAGCATGCACTGCTCATCAGAACATTTATTTCCTTATTTAGTGAAACAGTCTCCTTGTTCCTAAATAACCTGTAATGACTCTACTGCAATTCCTCTCCCCTCTGAAGAGAAGCCAAACAATTTGCTACAGGTAACTGCAAAGCATGTTTGGCCTCTGCTGGTAAGCAAGGGGTGAGGTGGGAATCAAGAACAAAATTTACTGCATGCAAAGAAGCCCTGTGATTTGTAACACATATGGCAAGAGTTCTGAACTCCAACAGTTTTGAACTTGGCCTCCACTAATAAATGTACAAGTTCTGCGTGCACATCATATMTGCATGCATTTTGCACACAGCTGCTTCCAGAGCAGCAGCAAATCTTTCAKATTAAAAATATATTCTGCAAAAGCAATTCAGAGAACTTTTTYATGGCTGAGGATATACACACTGTTCCGTGTACAAAATTAAACACAAAGAAAACTAAGGTTTTTTGTAATACTCACAGAGGTTTTCCATATTTATATGCATACACATGCACAAGCACATACCTTATGTGGCACTGATCCTGATTCCTGAATGGACATGCGAACTGGTTCTGCTGCAGTTAAAACATATAGAAGTAATCTCAGTATGTAAGTACCAGTGATATTTTTTGACACCAGATCAGTTGTAAAGAAGAATGTACCTAGTTCAGCAAAGGTCTCATCCATTGGGACCTCTTAATTCTACATATGTTACTGATGTTTAAAAATTCCTAATTTATCCACCTCTAAAACACTATCTGGATTTCATTCTACATTGCTTGAGACTAGAATAAACAAATAACCTCTTCTACATTGAGAGAATTCAGCCAACTRCTCTTAAGAATCACCATATTTGAGAGGCATTTGGAGTTTCCAGAGAAAACACAATATATACATGGAAAGAACCTGATATTCAATGCACAACTTCCGGGCAGGCCTGAGGGAAAGTTCACTGCTGAACTGACACAAAAACTTCCTATTCCAGAGTTACTGAGCAGAGTTGCACYACACAGGCCTCCAGAGCTGGCTAGTCAAACTTATTCATGGTTTTACTAATAAAGTATTTAAGAATACTTTAAGAAGTTTTGACAGCGGAATCTTACAGTTTTTAAGATGTTTTAGGATGTGGCAGCACAAGCAAATACAAGACCAAACAGTAAGGCTAGGCTCAGTTCTGAGAGGTACCAAATATTCTCTGCTTCTGGTGTTACTGACAGGATTAGCCATGAACACAACTATCAAACACTAGTCCTTTGATATAATGRAATCCATCACTTATCTCTATTAGATAATCAAAACTGAGAYAAAATGCTCTTACCCAGAGTAAGACTTGATCCATTTTGTAATTTTTCTGTGTTCTCKTTCTGAATCTGAAAYGAAGAAAAAGGCATAATTTTCCTGTTCTCCTTTAATAATWAATAAAMAWGTTCCAAAATAAAACACAGTAGTATTTCTTCCTCAATAAAARGATATTTCAGTTTCATTTCTATCAGCTCAACAGAATTACAAAATARCATATTAAAAAATCTACCAAGAGCACAGACAAACAAAATAAACACTCAACTGTTCCTCCTCAGAAAAAAAACTACCAGCTTCTCATGAACAGCCAAAAAAAGCCTCTGAATATGTGAACTTTTCTTCCTATACAGCAGCAGGGAGCTACATACTTACTGAACACATGACAGAAATAATCTCATCAAATGTAGCAATGTTAAAGACTTGGAGAAAGGTCATACCAATACAGTATCAGAGCTAACCCAAATATAAAGAATAYTGCATGCAATAGGATTTGATGACTTTTCACATACTGAGACATCTTCTTAAAATGAGTTTACAACAAACAACAAAAAAAACCCCTGAAAAACTCTTCTTAAAAAAAACCTAGAAGTTTCAGCTTCAAAATTTAAAAGCTGCTTTCCCTGGAAGGTCCAGAGGGACAAAGAAGRTATTTTGCAAAGAACAGTCAAAGCAAAACTTCTCACTCCACAGTTTAGTACAAAAAAACTTCCAAGRTACAGATTTTATATGTTCAACTAACAGGAAAAAAAATCACAGAAGTCCTTCAAAGGGCATCTTTCTCAGTCAGAAGATTTAAATCAGACCCTAAACTCAGCAAATAACAGAATAACAGAAGTAAACCAAACAATATTTTAGTCACTAGCCATCTCTCATTCCTCAGGCTCTGAAAAATGGATCTCCTTTTAAAGTCCAGCAATATTTAGAAATAAAGGATGTGTTTCACTTCTTGTATACTTACCCCTGAATTATAAGGAGGATCAATCAGATTGAGATTAGTGAGAGATGCCTGATGAGCATTTACATATACTGGCTGAGAATGAACGGAGGACASTGAAGCTGCAAATTCAACACAAATACACTGTGATATTTCAACTGTTTCAAAAACCTGAATCTATGAAGAATGCAAATACTCTTACTTGTAACTCATAGTTTTATCTTCAGTAAAAGCACATTTGATTCTTGCTATCAAGAGTAACCAGTGCAAAAAGAATGCCTTACCTTCATTCTTGTACTTCTGAATCTTCCTAATCAAGTCTATCCTGTGAATACTTCGAAAACARTTTTCTATCAAATCCAGTTGATTAGGAGCCACCAAATTTAGCTTCTCCAGGTCAATTATAAGAGCCAGAAAACTCTAGAATAGCAACAGAAACCCAAATACATCAGTAATTTCTTCTCCATCAGAAGTAACCAAGCAACCCAGAAAATACCTTCGGGTCATAAAGGTTGTATAAACAATTAGAGATGTTACCTTCTAAGAAAATTATCTGGAAGTCATAAGAATCCTTGATATTATCACAGGAGTAACAGAAACTACAAAGTGACAGTCTTAAAAATCAAYCTTAAATTTTTGAGGAAACAGTTTTGCATTTCATTTTTTGCTACAAAGCCAGCACTGGGAATGCCACCTCATATGTCACAAAGCAAGAGGCAAGAAAAGCTTTGGGAAATTTTCAGGGCCTCTCTCCTTCTTTGACCAAAGACGGAAAAAGAAAAAACCGCAAAGGAAGAAAACAGAAATCATTAGTCTTCTCTGCACAGTGGTCAAGGTTTTTGAATCCTCTCCACTGAATTTCTGCTTTCTCWGAGGATTTAATACAAATATTCAGAATGCAAAGGCGCAAAGACTTAATTACAATATATCAGTTCTTTTGTAAGTGAAGCAGAGCACAAACAAAAAGTGGCCTTGTAATTCAAGATACATTTCAAATGATTATTGGTTTGAGATCATTCTTACATGAACTTTCAGGTCAGTATTACTGAGGAAATACTTCCGTAAAATGCCTTGTCCCTGTGAAGTTCATTCTACCCCTGTACACTGTAACAAGCACTGTTCCCTTACTTTTTCACTAATTTTCCATACTTCTTTCCTTGAATTAAAAAGCAACAAAATGAAATAGAAGYCACTACTCCTTGTCTGCTTCCTGATGTTTGTGTACTCCTGCCTCAACACTCCTTGCAGTACTGTCTTCTCTCCTTTGATGTCTAGCTACTTATTTATTGACTTTAATTTCTCTTTGCTCCAGAGGACAAYGCCAAAGGAAAACATACCTTATCTTTTGCCATTTTCATACGAGGTGCATAATCTCTGAGTAGAAAACCAAGAGAACCCACTTCGTCTTTTTCCAGATTTTCATTTATCTCAACCATTAGKACCCTGAAATAAAATTGAGACATTTCCAAAGGATTAGCTTGCAGCAAAATTCCTCCCTTTCACAACTACTCAACTTCTCCCCATGTTCCMGTCTTAATCTACCATTTCTAATTAATAAACAAGTAAAAACCCTATCCTGCTTCAAGACCCAATTACAAAATATTTGCTCTTGCTAATCAGCACCTGTGTTAATCAGACTGACARTGGTGTAATAGCCACTGTTAGGAAAACAGAAGTTTCCTTAATGTTTGTAATAGAGATKAAGTGAGAGAATGAAACAACAGAACACATCCTTAACTTTTTTACCTATTAATTACAGGGTTTTTATTTTAGTGAGAATTTAATACAGGAAAATATTCCTTATGTATTTCTTTCCGAAGTCTCTCWAAGAAAATAACTGGAATTTCTTAATTTAAGCCTCTCAAAACTAATAGAGTAAAACAAGTAAGTCCCTTGAGAAAAGCTATACCACATGGCTATGTGCCCAAAGCAAACTAGAAAAGAAAATATCTCTAACTGAAGATATTCCTTTAAAGTGTCATTTTTRTTTTCTAATCTAGAACTCTACAAACATCACTAGTTTTATTCACAAACACACACACACCTTAAACATAGCTTCTGATGCCACGACTTGTATGAATGAAACTAGTTAATTTTAGTTAAGGGACTAAACTCAACATATTCTTTTAATTATAACTCTAGATATAATGTCTTTTTCTGCTTTTCTTCTACCTTCAAKAAACATTCTCTGAATGTGAGGTRTTTAAAAAATAAGTRAAAAAACAACTCACCCATAYTGCCCCCCYAAATAAAGGRAAAAAAAGCCCACACTTATTTTGAACAAGAYAGTGCAGCTTTGAAATCTGAAATAGATATATTACCTGTAATCAGGGATAAGTCTGAGACTCCTGGAAAGGTGAGCTTCCACTGTTGYTTTCTCAGTGTTCAGGATCCTCCTCAGCAAGTCAAACCTCTTAACTCTGTACAACAGCTCAGACAAACCATAAGGGGTCAGTTTCTCCCTCTCATTCAAAGCCAGCAAGAGCTCTTTAAGATCAGCAGTGGCCAAGTCAGGAGCAAGGTCTCGGCACAGGAAAACCATCATCTCTTCTTCATCTTTATCCAATTCTTCTTGAATCTGATGAATAAGGAAAGCTGGCACCTGGCACCTGGTCATCACTTTGTTGCTGTTCCTTCAAAATTGCCAGCCTACTGTTTTTTAAACAGGAAACCAACATGGCATGGAGCCCATTTCTACCACAGCACTTCTCCTGTGTTCATTCTTAACTAGATACATTTTTACAAGGGCAGCTCTGTTGGAGAGAATGAAAAAATAAATCARTGGTCTGCTGCAGAAGTTCACAGTTACCTCTCCTTTGTGAACTATTTCACTTTCAACTAAAAYGCCCCCATACTACAGAGACCTTTTGCATTCAAGGGACTCGCCCGGTGGTTCATTACAAAACTATTTRGAAGGTCATATGCAAGATTTTTATAAAGTAACCTTAACATGAGACCGTAAATTCCAAAGGAAATGAAACAAAAGTCATCAGCTTGCTGATGAGTGGTATATTAAGTATTTCCAAAAGCTCTGCCCTCTTCCCAGCAACTCCTCTGCTGATGACCACCTCTTCCCACCTAAAAGGCATTTTTCAGAAGAATTTTTGGAGCTAAAAGGTATTGCAACCACACACAGACAAAAGAAGAAAAGAAACACCAAACCATAKAAAACCATGGCTATCAGGTATGCAATTTGCCTTAAGTAAAGGAAATACTAACAATATAACATGCCATTTTTAAAACATTATGTTAATTCAGAAGTGTGTGGATTTTCTTATTACTAACATAATTTAAAGTGATGTCAATCTGAATGAGTTACTGGGGTTATAAGGATTCTCCATACACACCCTTCATGCTCAAAAAGATTGAAGAACCACTCAGAGAAAATATTCCAACCTTAAATATGCAAATTGGTTAATTGTGAAGGTATAGATGAGACGCAGACCACCTTTCTATGAAACATTCATGTATCATCATACTGGAAACCGAAATAAAAATTCAAACCCAGAAAAAACCCCAGCCTTGTGATTAATCAGAAAGGTGCTACATTCAGTTTCCACTGCCACCAACTATGGAAATTCTATCTAACCTGCTCTGACCTCCATTACATACTTGGAGAAAGGGGAAATAAGCAAACCTGAAGACAAATCTTAGTCCTTCCACCGAGTTTGATCACTACACTAGAGAGTTTTGTTTAAACTGTACTGAAAAGCAAAAGCCAATTCAACATACACCAAAACATTGTAGCACCTGAACAAGGTTTTTTTAAAATGTTTTCAGCCTTTTGTTACATATTCTGCAAGTTTCAGTCAACAATATTGTATATTGTGTCCATAAATWAAGCAGGTGAGATAAACTCATTTAAAAACTGCTCTCCCCACCCCACCCCCCAAGTGCTTTTTAAATGAAAAATAACTAGAACCACTTTCTCAGCAAGGAAGAAAGAAACAGATTTGGTTAAACCCATGGACTACCCACAAAAAGAATGTCTCAGAGGGTAAGTAGAAGAATCCCTCATGCACTGTAATGTGTACTGGAAAGTTTCCCATCAAAAGAAAAGCATATTTATTGCTAATTTATTTTCAATCTAGCATCAAACATTTATGAGAACTCTACAGAATGACACAGACTGTTTTCATAATGAAACCTAATGCAGTCAAAAAGGGGGAAGCATAAAGTACCTTCATGTGAAATTACCACCCAGGTACATTCAGCTGGGACTTTCAAAAGAAATTGAGGAAGTCATAGTCTAACTTTAATGGGAAACAGAAATTTAACAACTTTTGGCCATTTTTGGAAATACCAGAAAAATATTTTAACTACTCCAGTTGATTTTTTATCTAATCTTTTAAAACCAGTTAAAAAAAAAGGAGGGGGTGTGTGTAGTAGGGAGGAATTTCCTAAAGAGTTGAAATTTCAGACAGGCAAAATGACTATTTATATGTTAACTTAAAAATAACCTGCCTTTAAAACACGCRCATGAATTATCTACTTTTGTGAACTTCCTTTATATATGATACATCAGATGCTCATTTTTAAAAAGTCCTGATTATACTCTCAGTGCTGAAACTCTCCTACCTGTATCCAAGTCTGTTCACAAGAACACTGGAAAACTGGCATTTGACCATTGCCAAATCATCGATCCAACACACATTGGTTTCCATCCAATATTTTCCAGTGATTACATCAACTCATTCTCTGTTGGACAAATATCAAGATCACAAATTACTGGGGGGGCGCCTACTTCCTGATTTCATGAGGGTGGGGAAATAAAAAAAAATTACCACAGACCATTTTTCTGTATGATGACAGTGAACCAGGAATAATGCTCTAAATAAAAGGAAAACCACCTAAGCACATATAGTGATTTGCTGGTAACATTCATTGGCTACTGCAGTGAGTCAGAGGGAATGAGTAAGAGCAATAGGAAGTCACTTTTTCGTACAAACTAAAATAGCTTATAACTTTGCATCCAAAAGCCATGTGCCCATATTTTGAGCGAAGTCACAGGACTGGGGCAAGCCTGATACATTCTGCGTGTGGACATCTTGGCCAGATGCACTTCACCATAAGAGATGAAGGGCATSATGCTCCACTGTCCCATCTGATGACACTTTTTCAAACATCACTGATACAGTTATCATAGCTGCAATAGTTRAAGAAAAAGAGAAAAGCAATCACAACATAAACACCAGCAGCCTGGCTTTTGATTGAGATTACCTGGGCCCTGCAACAAGATGACTTATTGAATGTAAATTCCTTTACAGAAAGAAAAAGCAGCTTATCTCCCAAGACAAAATAAAAAAAATTTCATACTCATCAGAGATAAAGCTGCCCCAATAATTTTTGTGTTCCTGCACATACGTAATTAAGATTTTTTTTTTTCCTAACATCCGTGTAAAGAGCAGGAAATAGCAGACTAAAATTTCACACAAAGATGCACAAGGCTCCAGTTAACTTCCTGCTGGCATTTTGTATCTTGAAGATTTCACAGACATCTTTGCAGCAACGAAACCAAGATATGACACCAGTGAGTGTCGTTCTGATTTGGAAAATTATCTTTCTTTCACAAGACTAACCTCGTGGAAGACCCTGTGCTGGAAGGAGAGYAGATGAAGGGCCTGGCTAGGGGCGGCACTGGCTGTGCTTTGTGCCTCCTCCGATCTGCATTGTTTGAAAACCTGGAAACGACTGCAGTTGGAGCCAGGGCCATCTGGTATTTTTCAAAGTCGCAGAACAAGCTTCTCAGCTTTAGCAATTCGCTATTTCCTCACTGGCTACGCCCTCTAACAGGCCTTGTGCAACGCATTCAGGAAAAGGAATTTCCCCAGCTACCTTCGTTTGAAATAGTTTTCTCTTGATGTAAACTAGTATGAGCACACTAATTTCTGTTTTAACACCCCAGTCTTCCGAATTAAAACGAAAAAAAAAACAAAAAAAACCCACCAAAACCAAACAAAACGTCCCCAACAATTAAACGTGGTTTACGCAGATTTCGAGTCAACTTTTTAAGTACGTCATTTTAAGCCTCACTCAGTTTCGGTTCTCGAGTCAAGGCGGAGCTCAGGCCCCGCTTGCGCTCTGCAGGAACCTCTCTCTTTCCCCGTGAACAGGGACAGGAACCCGATCCCGCAGCAGGGGGTGTTGGCCCGCCTAAACTAAAGGCGCAGGATAGGAAGTGTGAGGGAAAGGAGAGGGGGAAAGGTATAACGCACCCAGACGCGTCGGGGAGGTCTCTACAGCAGCCAGGTCCGGCATTGGGAGGGCGGAGGCATTGGGGCGGTACCGGGCCGGGGAGGGACGGGGCAGGATGATGATTTATTCTAGGTTCCGGCTGTTTCCCGGAGGCCAAACTCGGGGCTGCACAAACACAATCGCCCAGCTCCCACCGGATGGAGGCGGAGCAGGCTGTGCGGCACCGCCCGGCACTTCCCCCGGGCACCGACACACCGGGGGCGGCAGCGCCGTGAGGGGAGGGGAGGGCATGGCAGGGGTAGCAGCGCCGTGAGGGGAGGGCATGGCAGGGGTAGCAGCGCCGTGAGGGGAGGGCATGGCGGCGGCAGCGCCGTGAGGGGAGGGCATGGCAGGGGTAGCAGCGCCGTGAGGGGAGGGGAGGGCATGGCGGCGGCAGCAGCAGCAGCGCCGTGAGGGGAGGCATAGCGGCAGCAGCAGCGCCGTGAGGGGAGGG